TAAGATGGTCACAAAGTTACGGCAACAATGTGTAATTGAACTGAGTATTGTTGAAGTTGAGCACGTGAGACGTTTGTTGAGAATTATAGCGTTTGTTATAGCGCGACTGTTGAAATTAAGAGTATCGCAAAGTTGTATTCGGAAAGAATAAACCAGTTTTATTTAAGAAATGATTTGTGTCGCTAAAGTTTCGTCGGAACGAATTTACGGAAAATTAACTAACGAACAGAGATGTAACAGTATTATTTTATGTACTTTTCATCATGTCTCAATTTATCTATGTTTTGAGGAGTCTGGTTATTCAATTTCTTGCTCTTCAATGTACATTTTACCCAAATTATTAATTCATTAGCATCCTATCTACATCAACTGGTTATAGATTTCTTTCAGTATCCAAATGACTGGTGGTTTTTGGCTTTTTACCAGAAACTTTTGCTAACTAGTAAATACCTGAAAGATACTCAACATCATAATATCCATAGGTTGGGTAGTGAAGGAAGCCAAATCCCACCTTCAACCATGATAGATGATTGGTCTTTTATTATAAACAAATAACATGTTAGTAACTACAAGCTTCTCACATTTTTCATGGCTAGCAGATAAGCTTTTTTTTTGGTCATAGAATGGTCTTTTTATTCTGTGCCGTTTGATCATACTTGTCAGATGTTTGGATGATAAGGCCCTTTGTTTCTACTTAAAAGTACAATTAGTAATATTTTGGTTTTCTGTGCTGTTCTGAATCTGATTTCTTTAGATGTGGGTGCAATGGTCTTGGATTGTTCAAGTCACATTTTTTGCCATTCTCCCATTTGAATCTTGACAAAGATGCACAACAAAATCTATATTAGCTGTTGCCGTGTTCTGCTGGTAGCTTGTTTCCATATTCCACAATCTTAATTCCATGTAATCTTCTATATTGTTGGTGATATTTTCAGCATCATTTCTTGTCGATTTATTGGATTGCCCAATCATGCAGGAGTTTTGTTGAATGCTTACTAGTCTAAATGGCAAGACTTTTCTACACTTGTCATCATAGAGTGAATCCTGTGTTTTTTTTACTACTCTTGAAATGTGTGGTCTGTTTTTTTCCTGCTCGAAGAAAAGGGTTTATCAGTTTCTGCTTTTCAAGATTACAGGGAGTTATCACATTCTGCATTACAAAAGTACAGGGTTTACTGAATCACTCATTGGAGTCATTTTACTCGGACAGCTGTAGATGCTGATTAGTATGGCTATTTGGGTTATACATTCTCATTATTCTGGTAATGATAACATTTTGTTTTTACAAGCTTGTGGTTTAAAGTCTAATTGAATGAGATACCTTTACCTTTGAACAATGATTTATTGTTTTAGAAAATGTGTTTATATGAAATTGGATAACTATTAGGTAGTAGTTAGAAATAGAACTATATATAACTGTCTGACAGTGATTTTGTTCAGAGACTCTACCAGTGTAGGGGTGTGAAATACATTATAAAACATGCCAGATTATTGACTGAGTGAGATTTGTATGCAACATTTTGTTACATTGGATGTTGTGGGGTATCATACTCCCAGAAATTTTCTTTGGATGCCAAAATTTGATACCATATACTCTAAAAGACTACATTAGACATCCATGTTCATGTATTTATGCAGTGGCACACTTATTTAAAGGATGTCATCTACTTGCAATTAACAGTGTCAAACTGCAAAGTATGTGATTAGTCTATCATGTACTATTTATTTATCCAAGGCCCTATCAGTTTCAGCTTTGTCTTGGTTAGATTACCAAGGGCAAATGTAGTTGTGTCTTCACCACTGTATAAATTTCTGTAGTATTATTAGCTCTGAAGACACAACAAAAATAATTGCTTCTGTAATATTAAATCAATAGGAATAAATAAACAATGATAAATTAATAAAAGACAATACTGAGAAAGGGAAACTTTGTATGTGTGTTGGAAGAAATTTGTGAGAATTTTTCTTGTAGTCTTGGAAAGGTTGCATTAAATTAGTCCTATAAATCAGTTTTGTGAACAGTTGACTTTTTTTTAAGGCATTAAAAATTTTTGTTTCCAGTTTCTAACTGACCATAAAATTTTTTCAGTGATTTTTGAAAAATTTTGACATGGGCTTGAAAATCTATATTGCGTTTTGAATCCTTGTAAATCACCTGTAATTATTGCAAGAGTAAATCAAGACCATTGCTAGTTAATCTATACCATCAGTGTAGCTTCATGTATTTTTGTTCAGCCATTGCCACAACTCTTTGAAATATTTGGAATATATTGGCACTGTTTGCAACACTCCGGTGAGCCCTAAGCAATATTGCACACACAGTACAGTATCCTGAGACTGCCAAGTTTTTGCATGGGACTTCTAAACTTTATGCCCTAGAGGTCCTGGACTTTATGCTTTTGCAAGTTTCAGATTATAGAAATTTTAAAAGGCAGACAAGGAGGAAGGAGAGAGATCAGTACATAGAATTACACAGGCCTGTGAATTTAAGCTTTTTAAAAGTTGTTTTGGTTTTAATAACAGATTTTCTCATAATTCATATAAGAGAACTGATAAGAGTAAAAGTATCTTTTAAACTATGATTTTGTGCCAAACTTTTGATATTTCAGACAACCATTTAAAATATGGTAACTGCATACTCTCTGTTGCAATCACAACCAACATATTGTTATGATGCAAACATACTACAGTCTTACTACTGTCCTAGTCTTATAGCACTATTTACTTATGTTATAATGGATTAGAAGTTTAAGATATGTACTTTTATTTATGTGTGAATCCAGAAAGCTTGTCGTAGACCAGGATTCTGAGACTCTTTGCCATCAGGGCTAAAGTTCCAAGCAGTCTCATTCTCTTTCTGGCTATTAAGCCAACATTTTAATTCAAAAATCAAAATATTACATATCTATAAATGTCAAGAAAAAGACCTTTAAATGAAAAATGTTTTATGTTATAAACAAATCTGTGAAAATTGATGAACCAATTTTGATGTTAACTTTTTTAGTCGATTCACATTAAGAGAATCCTTAGAACTAACACAGTTATTCATTATAAATAGTTCAAAATATTTATTATAAAATCATTGTAATTTATAATGAAAGTGCTGTTTTTTTAAGGTAAAAATATTAATTTTCTAAAACGGTTAGTTTTGCTCAAAAATCCTTGAGTTTAATTGTGGACAAGTTTTATTCTCATCACATATTTATTACATATAGATATATTAGATATATTTCACATACTCGTTTAAAGCCTTTTTTTGTGTTGGAAGTGTTAAGTCTTGCATGACTTAAATGGAATGAAGGCTGTGTAGCTTTTAATTTTTCAACTTGCATTACTGGGCAGCACAAAAGTACTTTTTCAGGAGCAGAATTAATGTTTTAACTATTATGAACCTTTAAAAAAACATTCATTAAAAAACATATAGGAATGCTTTGTGTGAACACACATGTACAATTTACTTCTGAGTTAAAAGTGTATAGTCAAGTTTATAAAATATATCTTTCCAAATTCGTTTCGAGAAATTGTTTTTCAAAAACTGTCTCTTAATTGCATGATGCAGTGTCGACCCATATGGATTTGAGAGACCTGATGACTTTGATTATGAATCCTATGATGATTTTATGTCCAATTACTTGGGAATACTAGCACGACGTGCAAAAAAATGGGAAGATTTTCTTGGTATTGAGAAAAATGTGAAGAAAGGCACAAAAGGTAAGCCTTAATTTGTATATTAATGCTGTATTTCAGCCACAAATTCCTGGTCCTTGCATGTCTAAAATGTTTTATAAATTTGGAATGTAAACAAACATGAAAACCATTGGAAAAATGTTTTGATTTTATCAATTCCCTTTTGAATTTTCTTTCAATGAAAGGAAACAAGTATTTGTGTCAAGAAAACAGAGTTTCTTCCTTTATAACTGTATTAATTGTGTATCAGAGGTCAGTTGAAAATTTATAATTATTTTTTTCCTTTGCAACAACAAGAGGCAAGTTTTATACTAGATTGAAACTCTTCTATTGGTGTTAATGATTATATACAAAAGTATGCAGGCTTAACAGAAAAGTTAGGATCAGAAAAGAAACCCAATAACCCAAACACATTGGAAAATTACATTTTCCCTTGTTGGGAAGATTAACATGTACTCTGATGGAGGAAAGAGCTAAAGCTATTAGTGTTACTGATAACTTTTATTTTAAGAAAAAAATTATATATGAATAATGATGTACATGTACTAATAGCATAAATATTTATTTTATTTTTCTCTTCTACAGCCAAATACATCTGTAATTGTGGTAGATTTACAAATAATTAAATCCACATGTAATGAAAATTGTTGCTCCATTCTGTAATGCTGTGTCATAATATTATGAGAGTCTGGTTGAATCAAAGTAAATACTGATACATTTAACTACCTAGAAAAACACAGCCATCTAAGTAAGTATCAGAAAAAAATGTCTGTTATATCTGCTATTTCCAAGTACAGGCTTCAATGGACAAGTAAGAAAGCATTCTTCTGAAAATCTAGAGAAACAAATTGTATATTAAAGCTCATTGCTGATGTATTCATGGTAACTGGATTGAATAGTTCATTTTATCTACAGCAGTTGTTCCCAACTGCTGGTCTGCAAGATGATTGAAAAGAAAAATGTGTATTTATATTCTAAGCTACTGAAATATATTGTTTTACAATATGATTTAAAAATACTTTAAAAAATTAATATTGTACAAACTGTGTAATTTTGAGATCAGAAAAGGTTTGGAACCACTGATCTACACTATTAACACACCACCAGAAACAGTTAAAGAATGATTGGAATTCATAATATTTCAGCTAGACAAATTAAAACCATGGTTATAAAATTGTTTTAATTACTTCTTCAATTCATTTTTATGAAGACAAGTATAATATAAAATTTGTAAATTTTATAAAGACAAGTAGGGATTGATATATATGTAACCTAGCTAGCTATAGTAATGTAGAAAGTTTTAATGCTACAGAAAGTATTGAAACAAGAAAGTCAAAACAACAAAAATGAGTTACTTAAAATTTAAACAGATTTTATCCCTTCTTTGGCAAATCACTAATTATGTTAGTCTGAGCTCAAAAAGGGGTAAAACATTTTAAATTTTAAGTAACTCAGATTTTGTAGGTTTGGTTTTTTTGTTTCAATACATTCTGTAGCAGTAAAACTTTCTATATTATTACAGCTAACTTTAAAATTTTTTTTATTGTACTTGTTTGTTTCCTTTTTATTGGCTATGTTTTTGTGCGCAAGCAATACAAAGTGTGAGGCACACATATACCAGATTTGATTTTATTACTCATCAGGATCTCTATCAACCTACCATCAAATCTAATTATATGCCCAAAGTAACGCATTGTCCATTTTATGTGTGTATATACAAGTATCATTTTTTGTACAAGAAAAGAATCATTGGGACCCCAGACAGAAGAGTCTGTGAAAGGATTAGAGTGATAATGTTTGACATTTTTTTGTATGCCTGTATAAACATGTATATAGTGCTTTAAACAGCTTTATAAGTACAATAAGCTTTAGTTTAGCTCAGCCATTACTACGAAATAGTCATTGTTAATATTCAGACATTTTAAAGGTGGTTTTTAAATGGGTGATTTTTATGGCCAGCATTTTGTTTCATCAAAATCCCTACTGTTAAGTACTGTTGTACTTAGTGATTAGGCATGTATTGATTTGTATGTATTATAGACATACAGACATCATCATAAGGCTTCTTGTTCATAAACTTAGATGTAATATTTAAATTTCTAAATATTCTCATAAAGTGTTGCATGAGATATTCTGCAAGAGATGTTGATTATTGAGGAATGAAATTTACATTGCTTTTTGGTTTTCAGTAAATACTTATGGAAAACTAGAATAGACAGGATAATGTAGCCTAATGTGGCTATTCGTTCCCTTGTATTAGGTTGATAACTTCAGCAGATAATTTCAGATTAGTTCCTTCAATATCATCATTTACCTTTGGTTTTGGACTGAGTTCAGATATAGAACATATACAAGATTCAGAGAGAGTAAACAGCTTTTATCTCTTATGTAAAAGCAACTGCTTGTCTTTTCATCTAAAACACATACACTGTTATTTCTATTAAATAAAGATTATTTTCACTGTGTATGTCACATTTGTATTCTTGTAATTTCTTTCAAAAACTCAGTTTTAGTTCATAGAATTGGAAATTATTTATATATGTATATATATGTTGGTCTAATCTTCTGTTAAACTTTAGACCTATTTCATTCACTCTTGGGGAAATTGGTTTTACCTGAGAACATGACAACTACTTCATTGTCAAAATTAGTTTTTCCTGAGAATACAACAACTACATGGTTGTTGTCAAAAGGAATGAGCTGTTATATTCAAATACAAATAACAGTGGCTGTCATTCCAAGTGTCAGTCGTAAATAAATCCAATTTCATTTAAGTTCTTCTGCAGGTTATTGTTCTTTGCCTCATATTTAAAGCAAAACTTTTGAAGAGTTTATTTTCTTCAATATTGATTAGCTCTCCATAATTAATAGAAATGTTGTTTACATAATTACAGACTAACTAACATTAAGCCTTATAAAGTTAATAGCTAATATTACTAGATGAATTTAAGTTAATAAGTAGATAAAATCTAACAAATTAAGTTTAGTCAGTTGTTAAAGTTTATGATAGATCTATGTTCGTCCAATATTAAGCTGCCTAACATTACATAATTCAAACTAACTTCTAAAGTAGACTAGCATTAATTTAACTAATTGTACAAAAACCACGTGTTTTCAGATTCTGAGAATTTTTCTCAATGCAGGGCAGGCTTATTAGAATCTACATTAACAACTTGTACAGTAGAATTTTACAATGGTAGATTCTTTTCTGTCCGTAACTAATAATATTCCCTGGTATCAGTTAAATTAATCAAATAGTCTTTAGGCTTTTGGGTAACAAAACCACTTAATATCTTGCAACAGTCTATAGTACATGTTTTTGGGCTTTAAATAGATATAGTGTTTTAGAAAATTTTGACTTTGTTGAAAAAGTTATCTCTATGTGTGGGAGCTAGGTTGGCTCAGATAGAAAACTGGGTAGATGGAAAAAAGAAGAGAGTTATTATAAATGGAGCTCAGTTAAATTTGGATTAATGTCATGAGTGGGATACCTTAGGGTTCAGTGTTAGGATCTTTGCTCTTTTTGACTTTTTTCACTTTGAGATTAGGTAGAAAGGAAGCACTGGAAGTGGGGAGGAAGGGTGTGAAGTGTGAATGGAGATAAGTATCCATTGAAAATATATTTTCAATGTAGGAAAATAGTAACTTTTGATATGATATCTTACTTCTCACATAATAGCTTGAATCGCACATTGACTTGGTGGAGGGACTCGTGTCAAATTTACATAGATGAGCACCCTTCAGAAAGTGTCTGAAGAATGGCAATTGAGTGTGATTTCTCTTGTTAGAGGAACACACTCATGGGAGTCCACACCATATTTGAACTAGGTATATTCTTTGCCCTTGATGAATTATTGTGTCGCTAAATGGGTGGCAAAGAGGCACATGTGAAAATTAGTTGAACATGCACCAGGTATAGAGTGGATAGAGTGCTTATTTGTATGCTACAACACAGCTGAACCACATACAAACATGGGGTAGGTGGGAGTTTCAAGACTAGTGGTGAGTGGAAACATTTGTGCATATAGAGGGCTGCACTGAAGATCAAAAGCTATTATGTGAGGGGAGGTAAATACCTATTGGAAATATATTTTCAGTGTAGGAAAATGTTAACTTTTCTAACAGGGTAGTTAGCCTTTGAAATGGGTTGCTTTCAGATGTGACAGGAGCAGTTATTTTAAGGGAGTTTAAAAGGAAAGCTTGATAAATATTTGAATGATAAGGGTGGCTTTGAATTTATTTTCAGTTTAATGTAGTGGATGAGATGGCCTTGATGGACCAAAAGGTGCTCTTGTTGTCCTTTAATGTTATGTTATTGATTACAACTTTATTTTTAAAAATGTTTAGGAGCTATTGTACTGTTTTACACAGCTTTTTTTCTTTCTTTCAGTAAAAAGGTATATAAGAAAAGGAATACCACGTGAATATAGAGGTTTGGTGAGTATTAAAGCATCGTGGTTAAAACTTAGGTTCATTTTAGAAATATAGGTTTGATGAGTGTTCAGTATCCTGTGGTTAAGATTTAGATCAGTCAATTTTAGTGAGAGAGAGGAAAAACAATTCAGATTAGTTTAATTACAAATAAAAATGTCTAACATATGTGAATTTTCAATCTTAGAGTGGAATGTATTATTCTGTAATCATTGCAATATATTAAACATATATATTGATAGAAGATATATGGCCTTTTTTACTACTCTTAAACACCAAACAAACCTAATACCAAGGTTTTGAGATATTGGGGAAAAGAAGGTATTGAACATTTTGTGACTGTTGAGAGACTATTCATATAGAAGTTACTGAAACTTTTGTTTATATATTTACTTGTTTTATATAGTTCTAATATTTTACATCAATTAGGTCTAGGAAAATGGGTGAACTATTAGTATAGAAGAATACTGAAATGTTATAAATCTACAAAATGCCAGGATGTAGGACAGATATCTTTGTTATGAAAGTTACATTTATTTCTTCGAAGCACTTTTTTGTAATGAAAAGTGATAGTATATTATGAATTATACTGTGCATTTTGCAGTATGAAGTGTATTAATATTGAGTTTCTTAAAATTAATACAAGTATATATTAATGTTCACTGTTAGTAAATTCTTGTTGATGTTATTATTTGTGTGTATATTATAAAGTATCTGAAAAAACCTAGAAGATTTAGAAATATTGAAATTACAAAAAAAATTACAACTTGTATATAAATAAGAGATTTTTTGTGTTAATAAAAAAAATTGTTTTTATTTACTAATTATTGTATGATGATTGCTAGGTCTGGATGGAGGTTAGTAAAGCTCAAGATCTGAAAGATGCAGATCCAAACCTATATTTCACTCTTCTTTCAATGCCTATTCCACCAGAGATTGTGGAATCTATAAAAATAGGTGAGCAGTCAAGTGACTGTGATTTTCGTAAGAGCATTTTTTCCAGTTAGAATTAAACTTCTTGATGAGTTTAGGTGAAAAGAACTGTGAATAGGTAAAGTTTGATGTGTTGTGTCTTCGTTTTGGAATAAAGAAGTTTAGAGAAAGATGGGAAAACCAAGTTATTAAAATGAGTACCATAAAAAGCATAGAATAAGTAGGTGGGAATACATATGATAAATTCCATATTAACTCCTTAAACCCGAGTAGATGCTACCAGCAACCAGCTGAAAATCCAGATTTACCCATTGGATGGTGACAGTGTTCGATACCAATTTTTGTCTCTTTGGCTGAAAACTAATCCAAACCATACTATTATACATCTTTTATAAATAGACCAGAAATTTTGTAAGTATGGTGATAATTACTAGGACTATGAAAGTAATTGTGGGTTTAAAAAGTTAAACTAATAGAGTAAGGACAGAAAAAAAGTGTCATAATAAACATAAAATTTTAAAAATACCAGGAAAACCAAAGTATTATAATACATACCATAAATTTCTTTAAGTTTATGTATGATACAATTATTTTCATTTGAATTGGAGGGTTTTAAGAATTCTCTGGAATTTTGATCTATATTATTTAACTTATTGTTTATAAAAATATGGTGGTGAAAGAAAAATAATTCATTATCTGATTATTTTCTTGCCAAAAATGTATTAATTTTTGCATTAAATAAATCATTTTTATGGTGTCTTGGAAACTAAGTTTAGCTTTGCCCTTGTTTAAAGTTTATGACTAGTTCTGAATATTTCAGACATACCACGAACATTTCCTGATAACATTTATTTCAAAGTTGATTCCCTTGATGGGAAACGACAGCCACTCTACAATGTTCTTGTTGCCTTTGCCCAGAAGAATCCATCAGTTGGATATTGCCAGGTTAGTAGTTATAAAACTATGATGAAAAACATTGTTTTTTCAAACATTTTCTCCAGATCATCTCTTATGACTCGTCTGTTGTTTCCATTCACTGTTACTAACACACATTGAACATATTTGAATGATGAGATTTTTTTATATTAACATTATTTTTTGTAAAAGTGATTACACTTTCTCTTCTTGATTTGATGAATAAAACAATTCTTTATACAGAAAAAAATATTTGGTAGAAATCTAATTACATGATGAAAGGGTTAATAAGCTATGTAAGTACGATGTTTGAATGTTATGCATGTATACATAACTATGAACAAGATTGAAGTCAAAAATAAACTGATGACAATACATATGCTTTAAAGTTTGGAATTTGAAGTAATCAAGTATCAACTCTTTTATGCCTAGATGTGTACGATGTGCCTCTAGGGCAAAATTTTACCATTAAATTTTAAAAAATGATAGATAATATGATCTTGCACTCCTTTTCTACATACAGAAAATAATAAAATATTTATGAGTTGAACATAATTATACAAAAAGTTTTATTTATTATTTAATTTTATGCATAAAAATTATAAAAAAAAATCACAAATTTTTATTTTGAGTTGATTTTAGTGAGCTGCCAATGAAATCATTAATATTTGTGAATTTCCTGAAATTTTTCTGAACATAATACAGCAAGGTCAGGCACAATAATTTTGGACAAAATAGAGCTAATTTGCCCTTGTAACTCAATTACAAGTGTAGTTTTATTGATTTTTAGTCAGCTACTGTTTTACAGCCTTATTTGTCACGATGTGATGTAACTGCTCATATCTAAGCTTCATGAAATGTATTGATCTAAACATGTCATGGAAGCTATTTTTACAATGTTTCAATGCTAAAAGCCAAAAAGGCTTTCAGTTTAACAGAGATTTGGGTAGAGCTTTGAGCAAAGTGATAAAAGCTTAGCTTATTGATAAGTTGCTAGAAGAAAAGGATTTTGTGAACAGCTTCCACTACAATTGCAGTCTTGATTTTTTAAAGCTTACTTAAAGCATGCTTTATTATTTGGTACTTCATTTGAATTATGATGTTGAAACAATAGGAAATGTTTTTGTGGAACAAAAAGTAGGCTAGGTAAATCATTTTGCACATGCTCATGTCAAGTTTTGATTTGCTGACAAAACCACTGTGTTAACATCTATTTGCAATAGACCATATCAGCCTAAGTAACTGATTGAATGATCAAAGAAAAGTGTCAAAAATAATTAAAAAACAAAAACATCAATAAGATTCACCTGTGGGTACAATAAAAAAACACTGGAATATCAGACTTATATGTACACAGTGTGGTCACAAGTAAATAGACACCACTTTTCAGAAAAAATGAAATTTTTCAGTCATATTC